CTCTTACTCGTCTCGTTTAGTTTATATTGTTGAGGGTTGAGTTATCCTGAGTTGATTGAACCTATTTTAACTACTAACTGCACACACTTATAAAAATATACATAAACATTTAAAAAACATAAATTTTTTACTTTATATAATACATATATATTAACATTAACATATAGGAAATAACACATTATAAGCAATTAACACATTATGAGACATTAATACTTATCAAAAACCATTATAATTCACATTTTAAAAATGAATTATTATTTGTGTAATATACATTCAATGACATACTACCTTGTAGTGCATGTTATTCAAAGTTATACAATTAATTAATATACAATAAATAGATATACAATAAATAGATATACAATAAATAAATATACATTAAAGAGTTATACAATAAACAAATATAACTGACAATATTTGACATATCGCCTCATGCAGGCCTCAAATTTCCAACACGATGAAAAATTTGCCCACAGATCCTAAAACAGAAAGGGTCATTATTTGAACAAGGAGCTAATTCGGCAGCGAAGGAAACAAAAGATAAAGAGGAATTATAACTTCTTATGTGTTTAAAAAAAATTTGATTTACGGCATGATCAACATGGTTTCCTGTCATTAAATCAATTAAAAAGGGTGAATATAGAAAAAGGGGAGCTAATAGAACTTGGCAGCACAAAAAATGAGTTTCATTTAAAAAAATTCTTCGCATTACAATACTGACAATTATGGTTGAATTCTCCGAGGTAATTACTTTCTGTAGCAATATTATTTCTTGCGATATTGTTATGCATATTATACCTATTGAGTTCTCGCCTAGCCTGGTTTTTTCATTTTGATTACAATTTATTTCAGCTCGCCAGGACTCATCTCTTCCATTCCGACGGCGGTTTATCTCAGCTCGTCTTTTATCTTTGAATTTCAGAGTTTGTTTATCATAGTTAAGAGATTCATTTATGCCATGGATTTATAATACTGATAATGGAAATTATTTTATGCTATGTAACACGCAAATAATGTTGATATTTAGTGCAATCTTAAAAAAAAAACATAATACCATCACACAGCATCATGTATTTTTAAAAACCATGGCACAAATGAGAGATAAGGTAGTTAAGAAACAGTATGTAAATTTTTGTAACTATCTGATGTAAGCAGTTATAGTTGTCCTATGATGAAGTTTTTTATTTTTTTACACTAGTGTACAAAAAAGTATGGATAATCGAGGCAAATTTTTAAATATTTATTTTTTTTTATATTTGTTTATTATATTTATTTATATTTTTGTCAAAATTTTTTTTTATAGGTGAACCACCTAAAGTGTAAGAACTTTGTTATTGTTGACAATAAGTTGCAAAAAAGGTATTGGTAAGGCGAGGAAAACTTATTTTTTTTAAAAAAGAAGTTTTTAAATAATAAAAAAGGTTATAATTGCATAAATTTAAGTAATTAAACAACTTTCTGTTTTACTTTATTGTGAATGAGCGCAACATTTTTAAATTCGAAAATTATTAGCATTAAAACAATTCAAAATAATTTAAAAATTTAATACTGATAATTTTTTTATATTGTAAGTGACTTACAATATAAAAAAATTATGTTTAATTTCTTTAACAATGTTTAATTGTTCTTCCCGATCTTAATAGATCGGGAAGAACAATTAGACATTGTTAAAGAAGCCAACAGAGATCTTGGAACTTCTGAGAAAGCTGTTGCGTTAGCCAGCTCCTTAGGCATAAATGCTGTTAGAAAACAAATTTCTTTAAGATTTTTTCGGCATATAACTGTGGAGGAACTCACTAAACATGTAGCTCCATGTGAACGATGCCAAAAAACTTATAACAGAAATCTTAAAGTGTCCCCTGTTTTAAAACTTGTTAAAGTGGAACAACAAGTAATTAAACAAGTTGGTTTAGATTTAATTAAATAACCTAAATCAAATGGATTTAAGTACGTAATTGTTCTTGTTGATTATTTTTCTAAGAAAACTGAAGTTGAACACCTCTGGTTGACAAAATACCAATATCAGTAGCAGCCTTTCTATAAAGTTGTTAGCAAGCATGGTTGTTTTCAAATACAAATTAATGACCAAGGTCGTTGCTTTACGTGTTAAAGTGCACAACTCAATGGGGTATTCACCATTTTACCTCATGTATAACCGACAACCCTGTATTCCAATTGATGTAAAGTACACAGATCTACTAAATAAAGATTATTGCAATTCTGTGTACGATAAAAAGGTTTAAAAAAAAATGCTTTACAAATGAAAAGACTTGCAGAGATAGCCATGATCAATACTGTTTGTTTACAAGCGAAACAAATATTAGACTATAATAGAAAGTATGAAACATCATCGAAATATTTTGTTGGTCAAAAAATTCTATTAAGAAATCTTAAAAAAGAAAATAGAAAAGGAGGAAACATCTCATGGCTTGGTTCATTTGAGGTACTTGATATTTTGTCAAACTCAATATGTTTATTAAAAAACAGTAAAGGGAAAACACATTAAATAAAAAATACTCTCTACATCATATGGAACCGTTTATCGAAGAGAAAAGTAATTCAAAATTATGTAATATATCTTCTGAATGCGATAATCATGTTATGTCAACATAATCACAAATTAATGAAACATCCTTCCAAAGAAATCTGCCGAAAAATCGATGAAGAACAAGAACTCAAAATATTTATAATGTCAGATCTTATTGATGGAAAAGAAAAAGATGTACCTTCAAAAATACATGCTGGCTAAGATCATTGCGACTGTTTTTTTTGAGTGCCAACATATACGTGTTTGCGATGTTGTTGTTAAACACATGGTATCAAAACCTTGTTCTAGAGTTTTATCAGGATACTTAGGTGATAATGTAGAAAACTATATTACCAAAAATGGTATAGCCACAGATGGTTTCACACAGATTATGGGCTCGAGATGTTGAAATTGTTGGTACTGCAAATCTTATTGGAATTGATATTGCTATGTGGGGCTTACTGGAAAAAAAACTAGTATGGCTGAAATATCTAACACCCATTAAACACAACCAACTAAGAACTTATAATATTCTTTTATAAAAGAAAAACAATCATTATACTGTTGTATTGTCACTAAAAACTTTGTAAATCAAACGATATTTATATTGAGCTAAATGATGTTTGTATAACTGTTGTTTTACATATTGTTTGCTATAAAAAAACATGATAAATTACTCCAGGTTGCACATTCTTCCTACCTATTTAATTTATTTTAAATCAGATTTCATCGCAAAATAAAGAGAAATTACTTAACTTGATTACATTAAAATAATAACGAGCACAGTAAAATTATAACGTTAAAATATTAATGAATCAAAATAAAAATTTTCAAAAAACAAGGGGTTGCACCTAACATCACCAAATTCGCTGAAAATTGGCACATATGTGTAAAGATATAAGTTAGAAAAGACTAAAAATTTTTAAAAAATATTTTAACCTTTGAAGAATTACAGCAACTTAAAGTTTGTTACATTTTGAATTAAAAATGGGAGAGGAAGTGCCAGAAATGTGTCCATTTACTATTACCCTTATAAGTTGCTTTTAGTAATTTTGCAAAGCTAAAATTTGGTACCAAAGGAGTTTGAATTATGTTTATTCTAAGAATTATTATTTTGTATCTCAAAACAACAAAATATAGTTTATTTTAAGATCTATAAAACGCACTAACTAACGACAATAAAAAAGAGAATTGACAACTATAGCTCTAGAAAATATCTAACCGATAGAAAAACTTTTGGTTTTAATTTTCATAAAGATTAGACATATATCTACTTTACTTACCAATTTTGTTTTGGCCTTATGTTTTAATGAAGAGTTATTGATGTTTTGGTTTTGAAATTTTTTTAAGCAAGCAAATTTGTTTTGATATTGAACTAAATACTATTATCTAATAATCTATTTTTGAGTGAGTTAATTTAAAAAAAAACAGTATGTGATTTATGTGATTTAAATTTTTACAAAATTGTTATAAAATATATTACAAAATATATTACACAATAGTTATGTCATTAACCCTTAATGACCCCAGGTATCAGATCTGATACACACATTTTAAACCACAGTATTTTTTAGACCAATGACTATTTTTATCTGAAAACACCCGTTGTTGCTAATATGAAAAACTAGTTTTCGGTTCCGTTTAAACACTTCTTTTCATCCGGGTCAATTTTCATATAATAAACATTTTAAAATAGCACATGTTAAAAGTGTTTTACGTGGTGTTCACCAAGTGTTGTTTCTTTATTTATTTCGCATTGGTTATATCAATTTTAATGATTTTTTTTTCTTTAATTTTTATATTAAAGGTAAAAGAAAACTTTATTAGCTGTTTCATGTTTTTTTTTTATCAAATATTTATAAATATTGATTACTGAATTTGTATGTATCAAATTTGATACAACGGGTTTTTCCAGTATAAAGCCTTGTGAAAAGTTCTTTGTTTATGTATATTTTTAATTTTTTTTTATGTTTTTCTAGATGAATAGGAATAAAAAAATAACTGTATCGGATGTTTTAAGCTATGTATTTGATGGAGAGAGTGATTTTAATGACACAGATGATAGTGATAACGAGTTTTATAATGAAAATGATACAGCCAACACTGCTATTGAAGAAGATAGTGACAATGAACCTTTAGCAAACATAGCAAACATAGCATCATAGAATCTTAAAGAGACAACTAATAACCCCAATAAGAATAAACCAAGTACTTACAAATGGAAAAGTAAGAACTTTGAACCCCTTGATGATATAACTTTCAAGGAGCCTGAAATGAAACCAACACCAAATGTGGAAACAACACCCTTTGAATATTTCAAATTGTTTGTAAGTGATAATATGTTGAACAGCATCACAAATGAAAGTAATATTTATATTCTGCAATCAAAAGGTTCAGAGAAAAATATCTCAAAAAAGGATATTGAGAAGTTTATAGGTGCTTATCTCAGAATGGAACAATTAGAGATAAACGAATGAAGAAATGCCCATTATTGCTTGAAAAGGATTTGAAAAAGCAAGGCAGAGGAGCCTATGATTTTCGAGTTGAGCAAGAATCAAATGTGGTTGCAGTTCGCTGGTATGATAACAAACCAGTTAATTTAGTTTCTTCATATGTAAGCATTGAACCACTTCACACTGTTCGGAGATATGATCGTTCGTTAAAAAAAAAGATTGATGTAAAACAGCCCAACATTGTTCATGTATATAACCATTACATGGGGGGCATAGATAAGTTGGATATGATGTGTGCGTTATACAAGCCAAGATTAAGAACACGAAGATGGTACATTTATATTTGGTTTCATACGAATCAAATTGCTGTTGGTTATGCATGGTTTTAGTACCGACGCGATTTAAAGATTTGTAGACCCGATACTAAATTTATGCAATTGCAATGCCTTAATGCAGAAGTTGCAGAAAGTCTGATCAAAGTAACATCACCTCGTTGGAGTCCATCTTTAGATAATATTACACAACCTCCTAAAAAATTTGCTCGGGTTCAAGGAAAACCTTCCAATGATGTAAGAAAGGATGGTTTTGATCATTTGCCAAGTTACAATGAAAAAAGACAGAGGTGTTTGTCCTGTAAGCCAGGACTTTCATATATAAGTTGTAAAAAGTGTAATGCATGGCTTTGTTTTAAGAAAGAAAGAAACTGTTTTGAAGTTTTCATTCATAATCTTATATGAATGTGCTAATATGTTTAGCTTATATGTACTATGTAGTATGTTTAATATAAATATTTTGATAAATAATTACCCGTTGTATCATATCTGCTACAACTCAAAAAAGTGCCTAGTCATCATTTTTTTGTCTCAAATTATTGTCAGCAATCAACTTATGCCATAAGGGTTACTTGTATTTGAAATAAGATTTTTTTGAGTCTTTTAAACTGTTTTGGGTATTTAAGGGTTAAATTAAGCAATATTATGTAATCTTTTTTTTATTAATTGTTTTACTGTAATAAAATGGTGATTATCTCATTAATAAAATATAGTAATAAAATGACAAGTGTTCATAATAATATCCAATAAATATTACCTTGTTATATTATATAACTAAATATATTTATATTTAGCTTTAATCTACTTTCATCCTAGCTTTTGTTAGATAATTAGAAGAGAATTGACAATAATTAGTAGATAATTAGGCATTTAAAATATGTCTGTTAAAACTAATAACTATTTGTTCTTTATAATAATGAGCAATATTTTCTTTACAAATATAACTATTTTTATTTTAAACATATTGTTTGTGTCAATACAAACAATATGTTTAAAATAAAAATAGTTTAATAAAAAAACAATCATACACCCAAATATAAAATCTGATTGAAGATATTGACAGGAATGATCATAAATTACTTGTAAAACGAACTAACTTAAATAAAGAAAAAACAAACATTTATTAAAGAGTGTAAGTGATTATAATGATGAAGACTTTGATATTGTTAGTGAAACAATTAAAAATAAAAAAGAGGGTAAAAATACACACTTAACAGCTTCTGGAGTATCTCCTATTAAGGTCAAAAGATTGCATAAGTCAGGTAAAACCAGAGAAAGTAAACAAAAATTGACAGCCTCCATTATTAACAATTACCAACCTCCGTTAAAAAAAATTAGCTACTTCCTTTAATATAGCAAAAGAAATTTTGAAGTACAGTCAAGTTTCGGTAATGAATTTATGAAAAAAGCAAACTTCTTTGATAACATGATGGTATTAATAACTCATATTATTAATACCATCATGTTATTAATTGCAGAGTATACAGCAACATCTAAAAAAAAAATACAACTTACAACGTTTGCTGCAACTGACTGATCATTAAAAAATTTCTAAAACATTACATGCAAAAAACTATGTAGCTCGAACCGCACGTAAATTAGCATTAGAAATATGTATTTTAAACATGCCTAACCAAAAATTAGGGAAAACATCTTCCTGATGTAACAGTTCAACTGGTCAAGTCTTTTTATGAAGATGATGAATATAACCTTATAATGCTTAGTAAAAAGGACTATGCAAACATTAAGAGTAAAGTTCACATGCAAAAACGTTTGCTCTTATGCAATTTAAAGTAACTGTTTGTTGCTTTCAAAACCATGAACCCAGAAAAAAATATTGAGTTTTCAAGGTTTTGCACACTGCGACCAAAATGGTAGATTACTGCTGGTGCTTTAGAACACGTTCAGTATGCGTCTATGTTGTTCATTAATATTTAAAACTGCTTTTATATCCTCTTGGTGTGACATACAAAAAACTGATATGCTGTATTGTATGTGAAATGACTAAAAAAGACTGCATCATGCGTAAATGTGAAAGATGCCCAGCAACTATGAATACATTGCTTGAAAAACTTTATAATTTATTAGGAGAGTTTGAAGATGACGTTAAGTAGAATTTGATCGGTGGACAACAACAGGTAGGTCACACTTAACACATAATAAAAACCAGTGTTTGAATACATTGAACTAGTATGCAAAAAGCTGACAACTTGCACCACACTCGTAATTAAGCTAAGAGTCAAGCATTATACCTAAAATCTAGAAAAGAAGATATTAACTAGTTAAAAGCATTACTTTTGGGTGATTTTTAGGAAAACTATAGAATTGTAGTTCAGGATGAAGTACAAAGCTTTATTGAACAGATTTACAATGTACACTTCATCTTGTGATAATTTATTTCAAAAATAAAGATTTTCTCAATCACAACTCTTACTTTATTGTTTCAGAGATATGATGCATGATGTGAGTCACGGTCAGCAACCTTGTAATGGGTAGGTGGTACAGTTAAACAGTTAGCAACACTAGCAAGCTTGCAAAGAGATATGGGTAATCATTATATATCCTAACAAGCGATGTAAAAATATTGCAATAAAAATATGGTGTATATTTAAATCATCAGATATTTTAACTTTGATATGAAACACTCTTGAGGAACGATTGGACACTGCAAATACCATACTTGGAACACGTAGTTACCAACAGTTTGTACCACTTTGCCATCAAAAGGTTAAAAAATATAAATTCAATATACCTTTTATTATCATTAAAAAACATGTATAGTTTTTATTGATAAACTCGGAGAGACTTTTTATTTGTTCGGAATCATCGTCAAAAGTATTTTTGTTTTATTTCGGACTATTTTTGACTTTTTATATTTTGGACAATTTTCTTTTAATGCCTTTAATAAAACATGTTTAACAAAATAAGTAAAACAGAATAAATGCATATATTGCTTTTATTTCTTGGAGTACCGAACATAAACAATTCTTTGTTACTATTTAACTAAAGACGAATTGAGAAAAATAGTTTTTTTTTTAGGAAACAGAAATATTTTTATTTAAACGATTTTCAAGTTTGCTGAGTCTTACATGTCTTATCCATACATTTTTAATCTTTAAGTTTTTGTACAATTTATGAATAATGTGAATGAAAAGCACATTTAAAATCACTTTAATTGAGCATTTATTTTTTAAAAGGTTTTTTTATACTTTATAACTTTGTTGTAAAAAATTAATAAAAACAACTAAGTTACTAAACTGTTAATTTCTAATTTGATTAATTTGTAAAAAGTTTGAATAGATTGCTTGATTTGTGTTCATATCAAACCTCCGTAAGTGAACGTGAGGTCAAAAAAAAAATGGTTTTAATCCTAGAATAAACTACATTGCCTTGCTTCGAGAGATACAAAACTAAAGTTAGCAGACTTTAAGCTCATTTGGTACCAAGTTTCAGAATCGCAGCATTACTAAAAGCACCATATAAGGGTAATAACAAACTAAAACATTTTCGGCACTCCCCACCCCACTTTTTTCAGTCAAAATCAATCAAACCCAAAGCTGCTCTTAATCCTAAACGGATAAGAATTTTGTATAAAAATTTACAGTCTTTCCTAGATTATGTCTCTAAACATTCAAGTTAAATTTCTGAAAATTTGGCAATACAAGTGCAGATTTGTATTTTTTGAAAATTTTTTACCCTTTAGTATTATTTTGACGTTATTATTTTACCGAAAAAGGATGTTTGAACGGTTGAAAACTTCCGCGCAGTAATATTTCAACGCAGTAATTTAAAAACGCTACACCGTCACCAACATCCCAGCCGGTACAATTCCATAAAATGTTACTAGTGGTTTCTGTTGCGTGTTTAAAAACCCCGTAAACACTAATTATAACACTTGTCAAAAATAGGGTTCTAATTCCGCGAAATTAACAACTTCTATTTAGCAAAAAACCTGCTTTAATATTAGGTTTTTACCAATGGTGTCACCGTTACAAAAACGGACTAATATGTTATTGATAGTTTCCGTAACGAATGTGAAACCATTACTAAAAGCACGCGATTTTTAAAGTTGACTTTAAACACTTTTATTATTCTAAAGCTTTTAGAATGTGTTAGAAGTTTCAGGCAAAATTAAATATTATATATATATATATATATATATATATATATATATATGTGTGTGTGTTTGTTTAACATAGGCAAAGGATATTCTAATAATATTATCAAATATAAACAAAATGAAACGAGCAAATTCAGCATCGTATATGAGAAAATATATGAAAAAATACCGATCAGTCTTTGCTGAAAATTTATCTCCTGACTGTTCATCAAGTTCTCATAGTTGTTATGATTCATCGGAAGAAATAACAGAGAATAGTGATAATAATACTACTTAATGTTCACCCGATATTCATAAATTGATAGATGTTGATTAAATTAGTCATTCACATTCCAATTCATCAAAAGAAATAGATTCTTTAAAATGTTCTTGGTTAGAAGATGGCTTAGTTAAACAAATTGTGCATGAATTTTTATCAGATCTCACTAAATGGGGAGTAAAATGTAAACTTCAAAGAGAGTACCAAAAGATTCTCGCACTTTACTACATACGCCTCGTAATGTTGATGTTGTTGATAAATGTAGTGGAAAATATGTTTACTTACGATTAAGGAAAAGCGTTGTATCAATTTTTTAAAGAAGCAAAAAGGAAATCAAATCTATTGAAGTTGATATAAATATTGATGGTTTACATGTACATAAATCATCAAGTTTACAACTTTGGGCAATATTATGTAGAATTGTGGTGTAGTTGGCCAGCCATTTATGGTTGTTTTGTACAGTGGTAACCGTAAACCCTCTCATATTGATCAGTTTTTTGGTGACTTTGTGAATGAAGCTATTTATATGCACCTGCATGGAGTTTTTTTAAATGGTATTGAATTGCCATTTAGGGTTCGTTCATTTATTTGAGATGCATCTGCACGAGCATTTAATAAATGTGTAGTTGGACACATTGCAAAGCTTGGTTGCGAAAGATGTACTAAAAGGGCAACATC